GCGGAGCGCCGACAGTTTACGCTTATGCAATTTTTGTTCAAGGGCGCCCAGCTTCGCGCTTCGCGCTACGGGAAGCGCGAATAACTTCGCGCTCTCGCGCGAGCCCCCAAAGGACAAGAGGAGGATGAGAGGAGGAATCGGAGCCGAACCGCGAAGCGCGAATGAGTTCGCGCCCTCGAGGGTGCCCTTGTATCTTCCTCTTCGGGCAACTGGAGCGCCCTCGAGCTCTCGGTAGGTCCCAGCATGGACCAGCCAGCCTTTGCGGGTTACCCATTGGCCGTGCCGTATCGCCGGGCGAGCGGTGCTGGGATTCTCCGCGTGACTCCGCCCGGTGCCTCGGAAAGATGGCTGGGAGTCCCAGTCTCCAACGTGCCCTGAGATGGTCCCCAGGGCGTACAGCCAAACCGTCTAATGAGGACGCACGATAAGGATGCAACGAGCCTGGGAAGGCCATGTCGACGCTCTGCGAGCGGGGCGCGGCCAGCGAAAGCTGCCAAGGATGGGCCGAAAGGGAAGGATGAACGTGTAACCTTGGAAAATCGCTCATCCTTACTACACGGGTTGACTGTAAGATGGTTCCCAGGGCCTACCTTGGGGCCCCCTTGGCGGGAGCCTCCAGGGCCGTCTTGTTGGCATTGGGGGGCAACCCAAGAGTCAAGATATTCGAACACATTAATTTGGTCTGCATGGACCTAGCATCCTCGCTTCTTCGGGTCTGTGGAGCGGCCAAGGCGGCCCAGAGGACTCCCCCAAGACGGTCCCTGATGCCCCGGCATGAAGCCAAGAGGAAACCACCAAGGCGGCCAAGAGGGCCCCCAAGACGGCCCCTGATGCCTCGAAATGAAGCCAAGAGGAAGCCAAGATGCCAAAAGCGCCCAACGGGAGGACAAAAGGGGGAACTCGAAGGAGTCACAGGCTCCTCCTCCCCCCAAGATGGCCTCCGACGCAGGAAGCCCGACGAGGCCCTCCGGAGGCCTCGAGAGGCCCGTGAGAAGTCCCCGCGAGAGACCTCCAAGAGGCGCTCCATCTGCCCCCGACAGGCCACTGGGAGACGCCAGGACAGAGGCTCGGAGAGGCCTCCCCCCAAACACGGTGGCGGGATGGGCCAAGGGCCGCTGGATCCGCCGCCCCCTGTCGATTCATCGCAGGGGTGCCTGGCGTGCTGAACCCTCTCGGTTTTTTGGTTCTGGTACTTTTTCCAAAAGAACTCCCCCTGGGGCTCCGGTCCGTCCCGCCGGGGTCCCGGGAGATTCCCGAAAATCCATACGTCAATGCCTTTGTTGCCCCAAGTTGGCCCAAGATGGCCTCCAAGACGGCCAAGATGGCCAAGGATGGCCTCCAAGATGCCTCCAAGACAACCAAGATGGCCTCAAAGACAGCTAAGATGGCTCCAAGATGCACCCAAGACGGCCTAAGATGGCCTCAAGATGGCCCAAAACGGCCCAAGACGCTCCCAAGAGGCCTCCAAGACGGCACAAGAGGCCTCCAAGAGGTCCTCCAGGAAGGCCCGAAGAGGCCAAAATCAGGATGTTCAATCGGTTTGTGAAGGATTTTGGTATTTGCGCCTTGTCGGCTTTCCGACGGCCCAAGACGGCCCAAGAGGCCACCATGGTCGCCCCGAGATCGCCCAAGAGGCCTCCAAGATTGCCCCATGACGGCCCAAGAGGCCCCCAAGACGCCCCAAGACGGCCCAAGAGGCCTCGAAGACATCCAAGATGGCCTCTAAGACGGTCCTGGAGCACCCCAAGAGGGCCTCAAGTCGGCCCAGAGAGCCCCCCGAAACGGCTTCCGACGGCGTCAGACGGGCCAGGAGCCCACCAAGATGGCCGAAGTTGGCTCGAAGCTGGCCCAAGACGGCCCAAGAGGCCTCCAAAAGGGCGTCCAGGAAGGCCAGGAAAAATCCAAAACACCGGTGTTCCTCCCGTTTTCTCAACCTTAACGGATTTTGACATTTGCATCTTTTCGGCCGTCCGACGGCCCGAGACGGCCCAAGAGCTCCCAAAGATCA